TCATTAGTATACAAATTTTGCAATGAAGAATTTTATAAATCCGAGAGTTACGATTTTTTATTTAAAACATATTTTTAAACGGAATTTTGCGAAAAAATAAAAATCTGAATGACAATTAATCCGCGAATCCAAAGGAAGAGTATAGTTACTTCCATCGCGAACAGTAAAGCTTTGGAATCCCTCGAACTAAAGGAAAAAATGCATCGCGGATGACCACAATCGTCTGCGGACGATTTAACGCGAGAAACGAACGTGTTTCCATGCGGGCAGAGAGTTCGGTCCCGCCTATGCACGTGTACAGCGCGGTTATTCGCGATATTCAACCCGGCTATCCGAATTCCAGTTGAAGAGACCGAAATGCCCGCGCAGAATACCGGAGGAAATAATTTTCAACGGACACGAACGGGCCCGGACCGTCACGGACGAAGATGAAAAGCCGACGAACGAATATGACTGACATCGAGCTATATCCTGGCGATCTACGCGAGCACGAGAAGTGGCAAAAAAAGTACATATAGAGAGAGGAAGAAGAGAGACGAGCCATGTCGGCCCGGTGAAAGAATAGACGAGTAGAGGAACGAAGATAGGGCGAAGGGGTTGCGGGGGTTGGAATGGAATAGAGATAGATACGGGTGAAAGAGTAAAAGGGGTGGGGAGAAGGTGCTTTAGAGAGCCGGAGTCCAATTTTTAATGAAAGCGTGGAAAGAACCATAAGTGCATATAGTGGCCGCATTTGTCCGCTCTTGAAGGGCTCTTCAGGCAGAACAGTCCTGCAGGACTATCCATGGTCGGTGAGCTCGGATCCGGTTATACCCTATGGCTATATATCAGAAAAAGGGGGAGAAAAAAGATTCCAATAATTGCTGGTCGAAAAATATCGACAGTAAACTCTCTCGACCCTTTAATTGCACACCGAAGCACAAGGCATATTGGTTTTCCAACCGTGTTCTCTTCATCGTGCTCTTTCAAACCATCTCACCGCGCTGGGTCGTGTTTCTCTGTCTCCCTTACGTTCGTTCACAGCCTTTCACCTTTCTCTTAACCGATCCTTTTTCCTGAAAAAGAAGTAAATAGTATCGTCGGGTTTTTTCCAACATCATTCATAGATACGATAAGCTTTATTTTATTCCGTATGGAAGAAGTATTTATTTTTCATAAAAGAAGTTAAAAGCAATATTTGTACGAGCAGGATTTTTCTGGAATCTTTTTATTTGTTTTCCTGAACGGTAGACTCGGGATAATTTAGAAAATGGACCATTTTCAAATATTGGCATTGTGCAAAGAGATTTCATCGATGGGTAGAATAAAATAGTTCGTTGGCAGACTCATCGTCAACCGAATGAATAAAAAATTCTGCTTTGGGTGGCGGTTCGATTAATTAATTTATTATCGTTCAATTTACAGAAGTAAAACCTCACTTCTTTCATAGTGTTAACTTATTTAGTGTTTTAGAACAAAAATATTAGCAATGAAACGTATTGTATAATGTTTATACTTACTTCGTCCACAATTTTTATTTCAATTATAATTCAACGTGCGCATTTTGTCCTCGCCCGTATAAAAAGCAATGTTTTCCAATAACAACTCGGATGGTCATTCATTATGAGTATTTAATGCACAGGCATATTTTGCATGGTAATTTATTTCGTATTGACCGAACAAGCACGTACACTTCATTCCAATGATTGATTTTAGCGATTAAGAAGATCATAATTGATTGTTCTATCTATAGTTGTTTCATGACATATTTATTACAGATACAGGATGTGAACACAAAAACTGAGACAGCGTCGGGAAGTGTGAATGGTTTGGAAAATAGGAAGAAATAAATAATAGAATTTAATAGATTATTTAAGTTTATTATTATATCCCACGGGCATTCCAAAATATTAACTCATTTTTTTAGTGGTCGTTGACTCTGGTGGTCGATAGACAAACGGAGGAACTTTCGTTGGTCGAAGCACGGCCTCAAGTTCCTTTGGCTGAAGCAGAGTAAAATTTCCTTTCTTGTCAAAGCGATCGTTCCAAAGTTCATTGAAAGTAGTTCTGTAACAATATAAATACTATTATTGTAATGATGTCATAAAAATCAAGTATATCCTTACTGTAACTTAAATCTATTATCATTACTAATCTCTAGATCAGTAGTGATAATAATATTCGTGTACTTCTATCAATAAATTAAGATAATTAACAATTATTAATTAATAAAATAGCCAATTGCCGTTCGGATTTAGAGAGTATACAAAAAATTGGGTATCGTACTTGCGGCAAACGCAGATACCGTTCTCGCAATGTCCTCCGGCTTTACCCATGCTAAGACAATTCGCCGCGCAAGCAGAATCCTGTACACGGAGAGCAGATAGAAGATCGCAGGTCACCCTTCTTTGTCGGTCGGCACGTTCTTCGACAGCTTCCATGTCATCTTCTGACGTATTTTTATACAATCGTAAAAGTAATGAATGTGGGAAGCAAATAAAAATTTGTTGCTTACCTATTGGTGCAGCCGTGATAAGCGGCAATAGCCACCAAAATAGAGCGAAAAGGAAGTAAATCTTCATCTTGATTGAGTTTCAGGATATTCCTCGAGATGAACAAATGAAGAAGTGCAAGATATGACTGATGACCGAACTGACCGAAGCCCCTTATATATACGTATATACACGTAATCTGAAATTTACTGAACCGAGACGTACGATTACTGTGTCCGGTGTAACAGCAAGAGAAGCGTGTGGTTGTATAAAATTAACAACTTTCATGATCAGAAACAGCTATATTAGTTATATTCAATGTTTCCGAAGTATAATTGATTTATATCTGTTTTATTGTAATTGCAGCGATAGCATTCGGCTGCGCATTCAATTAAAGGCGCCGAATTGTTACTTCCTCGCCGATGACCCTATGCTTTCAACATCAAGACCATTGGTCTGAACACAAAAAGAAAATGTGCAAGTAGATAACCCGGAGTGTTACGGTTCATATTAAATATACACAAGCATACATACACAAGTGCTTGCAACTCCAGACCATTTTCTTGTTCGTCTATATTTCTTTTCAGAACAAAGAAAATGATTCTTCACAGTTTCTTATCTGTGAACCGATACACATTTGCAAGGTGGGTAGCGAATTAAGTGATGCGTTGAATCGATTTGTACTTTTCACAGAATCATATTGTGAGTATTAAAAATCATTTGGAGCTGCTATTAAGATAATATCAATATTCCTTAATTCTGTAGAACAACTTTTATTTCAATAGTATTTTTAGGATAGATGGTTTCTCAGGAACTGATAGTGTATCCTCCGTTTTATCCATTGTGATGTGTGTTAACGTTTTTCTATAGGATTATGTCTAAAGAGTTTTTACTGTTATGTGTCTCCAACAGTGGGAACGATAAAGAACAGTAAAGTAATATTTCTACGAAGGAAGATACTTCTAAAGCAGTTCTCCGTTATAGACTAATAAAGATTTATTTGTAAGTTCTTATCACTCGACGCTTCTCCGCCTTACGATCTTCGTCTTGTCTCACGTTCGGAGAGATAATAATTATTCGCAAATGTCGAGACGTGACAAGATAAATCGCCGCAATACGAAATTTGTAGCGTCTTATCTTTCACAGAAGACAGAGTCGTAGGATGTATAGCGAATATATATATAGTATTACGATTACTAAAACTGTAATGCCAGCAGTATACTCTCATCTGTTCTTATCCAGACGCCTCGGCAAGATTCTTACCGAGGCGAATGTTATCTGCTTGATCAAATAGAAAACAGAATGAAAAATTACCTTAAGTAACGAATAAAATAAACTAAAAACTGATTATTTAAAATAACATGAAGTCACATAATGTTATGTGTAGATAATGTTTTAGTTTCAAGATTATTTTTCAAGTAATTTATTTGAATAATGCTCAAGCGTGTTTTTAAAAATTTATAATCAACACGTTTTAGATCCGATGCTTTGACCTAATTAGAGAAAACATTTTAATAGGCGATACTCAATGAATCATTAAATCAAATATATATAATTAAAAGAATAATATTCTTTATTAACGTAAAACAGTGACAGTGCAAAATGTTAACAATTACATGCTGTGTACGCACACGTAATCTAAGTAAGTGATTATGGTACAAAAATTAATCGTTGTTCTCACAAGCTAGCCGACTTTCCGCAAAGATTAATCTTTATGCCAGCGTTACGAAGACCTTCTGTGAGTCTTCTCCCGAGTTCACCGTCCACCTCAGTGAAGTTCTTCACGGCCCTCTCGATAATGAACGTCGATGCGTTGCGGAGACTGCCCACTAGATTGTTAACCAACCTAGTCTTCGCGTCGGCGTCGAGAACTCTCCTCCAGAATAAAGTCGCCTGCCCAAAGTCGTCCTCATTCACGGGCTCGTACCGATCTACGTCGCCGCTCACTGGGAAGGGTGGAGATCGAACGGCCGGACACTCTTCGGGACCGCTGAAGCTATTTGGATAATAGTTTGGTGCACCATTTTGATTGTAGAGTGACATGAAGCCATCGCGTTGATAATTCATGGCCATAATTGTCTGAAAAATAACATACAGTATTTTAAAATTTCCTAGAATTGCAAAGTAGATACAATACATTTAGATCACTGATATATCCATCGTAAAAATATCAGATACGTATAATTATATATTGCACTAGTTCGATAAACAACATTGTTGAACAGAGAATAATGGGAAAAACGAATATAAGTATTTATATATAAAATGCAATAAAAGGGTAATTACTTTGTACGGGCAGTTCACGGGTAATTGAAGGTGATTCGGGCCAAGACGATGCCTGTGAGTGTCACCGTAAGCGAATAGCCGACCCTGTAGCATTTTGTCGGGACTTGGTTCAATACCAGGTACCATGTGAGCCGGATCGAAGGCTATTTGCTCAACGTCAGTGAAGTAATTTTCGGGATTTCGGTCCAACACTAGTTTACCAACGGGGATGAGCGGGAATTCGGCATGCGGCCATACCTTTAATCATAGAACCATGTCATACACTTCCCTCGAAATTTTTATTCGACATATTATTAATGATTCTCTCGTAATTAAATTAAATTAAGTGATTTATCATCATACGGTCAATACGTATGCAAATGTCACCTTGGTCACATCGAATGGATTCCATCTGAAAGTTTTCGCTTGACTCATTGTCATTATTTGAATAGAGAACGTCCAAGTTGGGTATTCATGATTGGCAATAGCGTTGTAAAGATCTCTGATCGAGTAATCTGGATCGGAAGAAGCTAACTCAGCTGCCTTCTCGACTGGTAAGTTTTTAATCCCTTGATCGGTCTGTATAAAATAATTTTATTAACAATATTAACTAAAAAAGGATTGTCATTTATATTATTATTCCTTTCCTTTATAATTAGTATTTTCGATTTTTCTTTTTTTATACTTTGCAATATGATTTATCCTGATCTCTTTCAATATCAACTCTTATATCACAGTTATTGTTAGATATACCTTATTCGTGAAAATCGTACCTTGTAGTGGAATTTACAATAGAATTCTTCGTCCTTGGCGTTCACGAGCTTAAATGTATGGGAACCATAACCGTTCATGTGACGATGACCATCGGGAATGCCACGATCGCTAAACAGGATCATGACTTGATGCGTCGACTCCGTTCTTAGAGAAAGAAAGTCCCAGAACATGTCCGCATCCTGTGCGAGACAAATTCAATTAATCGTTGATAATAAGGATACTCTGATACATAGCCCGTTTGAAGACTACATAAACGCATAATTATGCGCTTTTCGATAAAAAAAATAAATACCAAGGTGCTGGTGCAAGCTCCGTATTTGTTACAGTTTTGATATTTGTAAAATTTGTTGGAGAGTAAAGTTCAAAAAGATATTCGATTACAATGCAGTCGAAGACAAACCTTCAGATGGGTGACAGGATTTCTTTTTTGCGTATGAATGAAGCTGGGGAAAAACAACGCATCCTTAATGAAGAAAATTGGTGTGTTGTTGCCCACTAAGTCCCAAATACCTTCCTCGGTGTAAAATTTAACCGCAAATCCACGAGGATCCCTATAATGCATTAAAAAGATTGTAAGATTATCTAAAAATAATAGAATCGATTTTTGTTGAAAAACGCGCTTTGTAGATCAAATGCTTTGTTTACAAATTTATTCAGGAAATGACAGATCAAATGACTTGTTGAAAGAAAAAGCAAATCACAGATGATTCATTGGTAGTGTTATGACAGGGAATTGTGAAAAGGGAAACGGAGGTCAGTAATCGACCAATTAATTGCAAGGACATTGAACGTGTTTACTTTTCCGCACAGTTTTTCGCGCGTTACCGAGTGACTAAACCGGCTAATTTGTATGCAAGAAAGAACTAACACCGTTTCCGGTACTTTTGCAATCCATAATTGCTGCGTTGATTACATGAAACTCGAGTTTTTCTTTCCAGCATTGTTTTGGAAGAATTCACGCTCCGCTTAGTATGTTCTACATTTTTTTTTCCCTACCCATTTGGAAACAATTGTCCGTAAAAGGTAAGCATTTTTTGCATCGTTCTTACACTTCGGATCTTTACAATTTGTACGATGCTTCCAAAAATTTCCTATCAACATTCTCTGTAAAATAATCTGAACGGACCATCGATTTTCTGTTATTATTCTTTATTGGTTTTATTTTATCTACATATCTGGAATACATATATTTCTCTGCAAAAAACATTTTAAAAACATTTTTGATAACGACATAAAGTTCATTTGCTTTTTCAGCGGCCCCAGAGTAAAATATTAAAATTACATTCTGGTCCAATTTTTATCTCACTTCCGCGTTATACCGTGTACACGCCAACATGAATATTCAGAATCAGATGTCCTCTCGAACTTATCGAATCGAATTTTAAAATGGTTCCATTTTACCCAACGATTGCGGCTACCATACATTTTATTCCATTGCTACGAACAAAAAATTCTTCTCCTCAAAGATACTAGTATAATATATATCTTCAGATTTGAAATACGTTTCTTTTATTTCTTTTTAAAAAATAAGATGATCGAAATAAAAATTCCCGGACATAAGTTGTTATTGGATCACAGAGTTTTGAGATGTACAAAGATAAAAAAAATGTTGAAACTACAATCATTGCTCGCCTCTCGCCCGTTTCAGTTAGAAATTTAAGTAGTCCAACTTTACATAAGAAGTTGCAGGCTGTTTGATATAAAGATTTTTTAGACAGTATTTCAAAGTAGAGACTTCAAGCTTTAATTTGAAAGAAAAATCGTTATCCTACGATAATTTTTTATTGAGTAATCATCTTCTAAACTTCGACAGTTTTTTATACCGTTATACTATAATTTTTTTTAATAGTGTATTTGTTTAATAATTATAAAGGTTAAATGAATGAATGATACAGGAAATAAAATTTCCTAAAACTGAGTATTAAATATCTCGTTTAAGTGCAGAAAAACGGAAACACATACGTATAGATACATTTTCAATTACCTTACTGTATCAGCCGAGCCGGATTCGCCGCCTACGGTGGAGAATCTCACGGCGATGGGAGTTCGTTTCCCGATCGAGGAGAAAACCTTTGCCTTGGTGTACCTCGTAATATCATGGGTAACTTCGAAATACCCGAAGGCACCTGCAACCAAGCGACAAGAAAAAAGGATTACCTTTCAGTAAAGCGGCCGGTTATCTGAGTTGCGCCAACATTTGGAAGGCTTTATGGATATTTTCTCTGTGCATACGCAATTTCTAGCATGAGTTCTCAGTTCTTTTGCGATTTTATTTTTTCTCTCCATTCTTTTTTTTTATTGTTCTTTATAATGTAGCTATAGATATTTTCTACGTTACTTTTATAAGGGCATTTTTTCTTCGACAAGATGGAGAGAGAAATATTCTGATAAAAATGACGATACTTATATTTTTTATTCAAGTGTTTCGGAGCAATTAAGTGACAATTAAATGTGGTATTTTCTACTAATTGGAAAAATTTAAAAAATGGACGTACCAGCTCCTTTAGCATGAACTACACGTTCTGGAATCCTCTCCCTGGTGAAATGAGACATTTCGTCGAGAAAGACGAAATCTTGAATCAACAAAGGACCACGCGGTCCCACTGTCAGGGAGGCTGTCTTATTGGCGATGGGTGCCCCATTTCCTGTTAATAATACTGGTTGTTGGCCCTAAAAAATATCACAACTTTAAAGCTATTAACGAAAATTTTGTATAAACTTTTGTTTTTTCATCTCTCTATGACAGAACATAACGTTGACTGTGACGTCCACATATGTATATTATAAAGTCATTCTTATTCATATACGTTTCGTCACGTGTATATGTCTACATTTATATAATTGTATTGTAAAAAATTAGTTGATGGCTTTCAGCATAAAATAGTATTTTATTGAGAACAAAATGCAATCTATTATAGGATGACATTGTCACAATCCGCATCGATGAATCAGATTTGAATTAATTGGTCACCTACAATCGATTCGTTGCAGTAGAGGTAGACAAGACATTTATTCTTCTTACGTCGATTAGTACAGAAATTACGCTTTTAAGTATTACGAGCAATTGAGACGATTTGCTCACTAAACGAGTAATGTAATTGTACGGATGTTTAAGAAGTCGTGTAATTTCTAGACTTTATGGTACACGTTCTATAAAATTTCATCTTCTTCTCTTTCAAAATATACATTTTTCTACTTGAAACTTTTTTTTATGAACATCATTAATTTATGTGACATTTATAAAGACCATTATGAATCGAGAAAATTCAATTAATTTATCTCCTCCAAGGGAGTACCTCTTCAATCCTGATATTCAATAAATGAAAGAGGAAAAAAATAATGAGGTACCAATCTCAGTTCTTCCTCATCTCATTAGCCAATTGAATTTATTACCTAATTAAAAGCACAATTGAGTCTACGTAAAAATGAATTAATGATAACTTTTTTTGTAACGTTATGCTGCTTAAATGTTATTACAAAGAAGAACCTGTTGTATTGTATTTGTAGGACTGGTTAGGGAATGAATCTACCTTAACACTAGACTGACTTTAAGTTTATTAATATAAATGATATGCTTATAAACTATAGGAATAAGTAAATGAAAAAGAGAAAGTAAATTAAGAGATACATCGCACGCTTGCACTGCGCCACACATCACACTTGCACGCATCTAAACCCGGGCAGAACAATAAAAACAAAAATGTTTTAAGGATGTATTGTCTATACAGTCAATCCCAAAAGTTTATGTACCTTAGAAAAACGCATTTCTTCTAATTAAAAAGAAATCAGACGTCGGAAGAATAATGCTAATAATAAATAGCTACGTGCTGAAAAGTATAGAAGGAAATATCCAATATAGTATTGGCGCTGGCGGAATGGCTCTTTATACAGAAATTATAAGCCCTGACGTCCTCAACAAGAAAGATTCTATGAATTTTTCTTCTAACTCGAGTAT